GCGATCTCGGCTCACCGCAACCTCCGCCTCCTGGGTTCAGGCAATTCTCCTGCCTCAGCCTCCTGAGTAGGTGGGATTACAGGCACGTGCCACCATGCGCAGCTAATGTTTTGTAGTTTTCGTAGAGACGTGGTTTCACCATGTTGACCAGGATGGTCTCGATCTCTTGACCTTGTGATCCACCCGCCTCGGCCTCCCAAAGTGCTGGGATTACAGGCTTGAGCCACCGCGCCTGGCAGTTTCTGATTCAGTAGGTCTAGACAGGGCCTAAGAATCAATCCATCAATCCATCAATCCCTCCCTCCCTCCCTCTCTCCCTCCCTTCCATCCTTTCATCTTCCCTTTCTTTTGAGATAGGGTCTCACGCTATTGCCCAGGCTGGAGTGCAGTGGCATAACTACAGCTCACTGCAGCCTTGACCTCCTGGCCCCAAGCAATCATCCTGCCTCAACCTCCCGAGCAGCTAGGGCTACAGGTGAGCACCACCACACCTGGCTAATTTTTGTATAATCTTTTTCAAGTTGGGGGTGTCACCATGTTGTGCAGACTGGTCTCAAGCTCCTGGGCTCAAGGGATCCTCCCACCTTGGCCCCCCAAAGTGCTGAGATTAAAGATGTTTGCATATCTGAGTTCCAAGGAGTGTTGATGTTGCAAACTTGAGGGCCACACTTTGAGAACCACTGATGTCCAAGAATAGTCTGGAAGGCTAGGCATTGTGGCTCATGCCTATAATCCCAGCATTTTGGGAGGTCAAGGTGGGTGGGTCACCTAAGGTCAGGAGTTCAAAACCAGCCTGGCCAACATGGTGAAACCCCATCTCTACTAAAAATACAAAAATTAGCCAGGCGCGGTGGTGGGCACCTGTAATCCCAGCTACTTGGGAGGCTGAGGCAGGAGAATTGCTGGAACCCAGGAGGTGGAGGTTGCAGTGAGCCGAGATCATGCCATTGTACTCCAGCCTGGGTGACACAGTGAAACTTTGTCTCAAAAATAAATAAATAAGTAAAAAGGAAAAAAAAAAGAATAGGAAAAAAACCATATTAGGCTTTGAGGTATTATTTTCTAGTAAATGCTAAGAATACTTACTAATACAAAGCATTTCTTGACCCTTTTAGCTTTTGGAGTATAGTTTTATAGTATTTTAATCCCTTTTCTGTTTCCCTGTAACATTCTCCAAGCTCCCCAAAACCTCAGAAGAACTCCACTTATTCAACAAATGTATATTGAGAGCTTATTTATACCACCATGAGCTACTTGATATAATAACTACAAACAAAATGATATTTTGTGTATTGTTGAGGGGCACCTTCAGAGTGTATAACTTTGGAGTTGAGTCTGGAAAGACCACCAGGGCAAAGGCAATGAGGTGTAAAAGTCAAAGGAGTGTTCAAATTGCTGGGGGCAGTTCCTGTGGGTAGCACAGGATGTCTGGGGACAGAGCCTCTCAGTGAAGTGATCTTTTGAGCCGTTTTAAAAAAAACGGCTGTTTTTTTTAAAAGGTGAAGAAATCTCTGGCTCACCGCCTGTAATCCCAATACCTGGGTGGACGAAGTGGGCAGATCACCCGAGGTCAGGAGTTTGAGACCAACCTGGTTAACATGGTGAAAACCTGTCTCCACTAAAAATACAAAAATTAGGCCAGGTCCAGTGGCTCATGCCTGTAATCCCAGCACTTTGGGAGGCCAAGGTGGATGGATTGCTTGAGCTTGGGAGTTTGAGACCCACCCAGACAACATGGTGAAACCCCATCTCTTGGCCAGGCACGGTGGCTCACACCTGTAATCCCCGCACTTTGGGAGGCCCAGGCGGGCGGATCACCTGAGATCAGGAGTTCAAGACCAGCCAGACCAATATGGTGAAACCCCGTCTCTACTAAAAAAAAAATACAAAAATTAGCCAAGCACCGTGGTGCGTGCCTATAGCCCCAGCTATTTGGGAGGCTGAGGCAGGAGAATTGCTTGAACCTGGGAGGCGGAGGTTGCAGTGAGCTGAGATCACACCACTGCACTCCACCCTGGGTGACAGAGTGAGACTCTGCCTCAAAA